CCCCCAGGGGGAGAGCCTTCTCTGTGGGAGCACCCGCCCTCTGGAACGAGCTACCTCCCAGAATACGACTGATTCCGGATCTCCGCACTTTCCGTAAGGCCCTGAAGACGTTTTTATTTCAGCAAGCCGACCTGGCCTGAATAGGTTTTAGGTTTGTTTTTTTTAATTGTATTGCTAGAGGTTTTAAATTGGGGCGGCCGTTTAATTTAATTTATTTTTAATTATTTTAACTTTTATATTGTATGTTATTTTAATTCTCGGCTGTTCACCGCCCTGAGTCCCTTCGGGGAGAAGGGCAGGATATAAATTTAATAAATAAATAAATAAATAAAATAAATAATCAGTATTCCATAATCAGTATTCTGACAAACCTAAATGACATTTTTCCTGTTTTATGTTTCTTCTCTCCCTGTTTGGATTTTTCTTCTCCAGGACTAATGTCGCTGTTCAGGGGGAAGCATGTCAGGTCCACATCGTATCCTGCCATTCTGTTGGAAGGGGTGGGTGGGAAGGCTGGCTGGCTGGCTGCTGGCATTTTTCACATGCTTTTGCTGTAATTGCCTGGGAATTAGGGAGGGGGGATTGCCTTCAGAGACAAAGCAGACTACCTCCCAGCCATTCCAGCCTGGATTCAAGGCTGTCATGCCTTGAGAGTTAACTTACCTGCCTAGCACCTCAGTGTTCTCAAAACAATCTTGCATCATCACATTGGCTGCCGGTGGACTGATCAGGGGGGTTGGGTTTGGGAAAATTGAAGAATTGCTTTGTATTTTGCACAGGCTTTTTCAGATTTTGCCTGACTTTACTGCAACCACACTCTTTCAGTAAAAGTTCTTTTGATTCAGCTCAATGGAGTCAAGTCTTACTTTCCTGAGGGACTAGCTGGGGCAGGCCCTTATAGGATTATGATATATCAGAGGGTTAGTCACTGCAACCTGGCACTGATTCTTTTAAACATTCTTGTTTCAGTGAAAAAGGCTTAGTTAATAAATCCCTTCCTTGTCTTTTGTTCTTTTATTTTCACCATCACCTGAAAATAAATGTTTTATATTCAAAGTATCAAATGTATTTAATGTCAGTAAATATAATATATAAATACTATGCATCAGAAGAAGATTCCAGTGTGTCATACTGCTTAAGAATTTAGATTTATGCACCTAACCAAAAACTACAGGTTTTTTTTAAAGACCTACATATAAAATTAGCAGAATTAGAATATGATGATATTTGTGTAAAAGGGGATTATAATGCAATAGTAAATGCAAAGAAAGACTATAAAACTGGGGAAAAAAAACAAAAGAAAAAAGAAATACTTCCAAAAGAATTCTTTACTATGACTGAAGAACTAAACTTGGCAGACGTATGGAGGGAAACACATGAAGAAGAGGCCCAATACACCTTTTACTCCCATCCGCATAACTCCTGGTCAAGACTGGACATGGCATGGATGACCCCAAGTATCAAAACAGAAGTAGAAAAAATTGAGATAGGCACAAACCAATGGGCAGACCACAATCCACTATTCATAAACTGGAAAGGGGAAAGAAGACGTAAGAGATGGACAATGAACCAAAGATTATGTAAAGAAAAAGAATTTAATTTTATGTTAGAAAAGGAAGTAAAAATATTCTTTCAGATAAATAAAATAGAGGAAACCTCTTTACAAAACACATGGGATACTTTAAAAGCATATATAAGGGGCCTAGTAATAGCATATACGAGGAAAAAGAATAAAGAGAAGAAAAAACAATTAGATAAATTAGAGAAAGACCTAAAACAAATAGAACAAAAACTCCAGGAAAAGCCCCAGAACAAAACAATAAGAGAAGAATGGGAAATGATTAAGCATAAATTGAATTTGATAAACCAAATAGAACTAGCCCAAAAAATAAAAATGGCGAAACAAAACTATTTCGAGCACGCAAATAAAACGGGCAGATGGCTAGCCTATAAACTGAAAAAAGAACAGAAAAAAAGAATGATATACCAATTGAAAGATGATAAAGGAGAAATTCAACATAGTAAAGAGGCCAAAAAAGATATTAAGAAATTTTATGCGAATCTATATAATCAGGGGAAAATAGAGGAAGATAAAATAAAACAGTACATAGAGAAATCAGGAATGCCAAAAATCACAGAAGAACAAAGAATTACTCTCAATAGGCCAATAACCAAATTAGAACTAGATGAAGTACTGAAAAAGCAAAAAAACAATAAAACACCGGGTCCCGACGGGCTACTGGTAGAAATATATAAAACAATGCAAGAAGTATTGGGAGAGAATATGTTGCGATTATATAATGAAGCTATGGAGAAAGCCAAGATACCAAATTCATGGACAGAAGCCATAATAACAATCATTCCAAAAGAAGACACAGATCTCCAGTTAATACAAAACTATAGACCTATTTCATTATTGAATGCCGATTACAAAATATTTGCAGCAATCTTGGCAGAAAGAATTAAATCAGTATTAAATACATATATACACCCAGACCAAAATGGATTTCTGCCGGGACACCAAATAAAGAACAACATGAGAATAATACTTAATGCTTTAGAATACTATGAATCACACCCGGAGAAGCAGGCAGTGTTGGTTTTTCTTGATGCCCAAAAGGCCTTCGATAACCAAAATTGGAAATTTATGATTGAACAACTACAAAATATGCAAATTGGGGAAAAATTTGGGAAAATTATAGCAGAAATCTATACCAAGCAATCAGCAAGGATAATTATGAATGATGACATAACAGACAAATTTAATATAACAAAAGGAGTTAGACAAGGCTGTCCACTTTCCCCCTTACTATATATTCTATCATTGGAAACCCTGTTGAAAAAAATTAGAGAAGATCAAGGAATTGAAGGTTTAAGGATTAATAGAGAAGAATACAAAGTTCAAGCCTTTGCTGATGACTTAGTGTTTTTGACAGAAAACCCTATGGAATCTATACCTAATTTGTTTCAAAAAATAGAAGAATTTGGAGAAGTGGCTGGACTAAAAATTAATAAAAGTAAATCGAAGCTAATTGTTAAAAACCTTACGGAAATCCAAACAAAAGATTTGATAGATAATATACAAATTCAAACAACAAAAAAAATAAAATATCTAGGAATCTGCTTATCTACAAGAACTTCAACAATTAAAGAAAACAATTATGATAAATTACTAGAACAAACAAAGAAAGACTTAGAAAAATGGGAAAATTTACACATTTCATTCCTAGGAAGAATTTCAGCCATCAAAATGATTATATTACCTAAATTTTTATATTTGTTTCAGGTCACCCCAATTAAAATAGATAAACCGTTTTTTGAAAAGCTGAATAAAATAACATCTAAATTTATTTGGCAAGGGAAAAGGCCACGAATAAAATTTAAACTGCTTCAGGATACAAAAGATAGAGGAGGAGCTGCACTCCCTGACTGGGAGATATACTACCAAGCAGCAGTACTATCGTGGGTCAAAGATTGGATAGAATTAAAGGACTCTAGAACTTTAACAATTGAGGGACACGAACTTCAAACTGGCTGGCACTCCTTTATGTGGGATGAGAAATACAAAACACATTCATATTTTAAAACACATACAATAAGGAACTCACTATTACAAATTTGGCTTAAAATTAAAAAACAACATTATATGAAGATACCAAATTGGCTAGCACCGGCTGAATCAATTAGACACCCAAATTTAACAGATAAGACAAAAATAATTAGATATAAAGATATAATGGACTATCAAGGCAAACTAAAGACAAAACAACAATTGGAGACAGATTTACACAGAGGAATAGACTGGTGGACTTACACTCAAATACAATCCAAATATAGAGAGCATATAAAACATATGAAATTTACAATCAAAAACAAGAAATAGATAAAATTATATTAGATTCAGAAAATAAATTAATTAGTAGAATTTATAAATTTCTCCTACGCTATAAATTGGAAGAAGAGACAGTCAAAGAAACGATGATTAAGTGGGCTCAAAATATCAAACACACAATACCTTTGGAAAAATGGGAAAAGTTCTGGCAGGAAAACCTAAAGTTAACGAAAGCAACGGCGTACAAGGAAAACCAACTGAAAATGTTTTATCGGTGGCATATGTCTCCAACCAGATTGGCAAAAATACAACCTAAAAATAGCCCAATTTGTTGGAAGTGTAAAAAGGCACAAGGGACTTTCTATCATTTATGGTGGACATGCCCGGCAGCAAAGAAATTTTGGTCTAACATCAAAAAATGGTTGGAACAAATAACAAAAACACAGATTGAAAAAGAACCAGAAACATTTTTATTAGGAATATTTAACAAATCATACCCTAAGGATATCAAATATCTTACAATTCACATATTAACTGCTGCAAGAATAACTTATGCAAGAAATTGGAAACAAGAAAAAATACCAAGTGAAACAGAAGTAATAGGGAAAATTTTAGAATGCGCTGAAATGGATAGGTTAACCAAAGAATTACAAGAAAAAGAAGAATCAGACTATTATAAAATATGGAATAATTGGTATAATTGGTTGAAAATTAGAAATATACAAAAAATATAGGGGATATATTACCGATTGATACATATATATGTAATAAAAATATTATTAGATTACAGAAAGGTGAAGGAATATATTATAAGTAGAATTGTAGAACGTCACTCTGAAAAAATGCTTAAGAAGAAATTATATTCTTTTTGTGTATATGTTGTATAAATGTTCGTTGTGTATATGTTACGTATGTCTTTTTTAATATTTATATTCAATAAAAACTATTTATAAAAAAATTAAAAAAAAAGAATTTAGGATAGCAGGTTCTTTCGGTTCAAGGCTTAATATATACCTAATACATATTCTCTTATCCTATTATTCTTCCATTTTAAAATAAGTGAGATAAAATCATGTTTCTAATCACATAAAGACAGTTTTATTGTCATACTTATATATTTTAAGATATACAGCAATATCTTGATTCTTTCCTTTCTTCCTTTCTATAGTCCTGCTTCAAAAGAAGAACTTTTATCTGTCCCTGAATTTTCACCATTTAATGAAACGATGCCAGGAATTACTTTGGACCAAAATGGATCAAATAATAGGAAGGCTCTTGAAGAACTACTAGATTTTACTGGCCAGGCCACTTACCCAAAATTAACAAGTGAAAGTATTAGCATAGATGATTGTAATAAAAATTTGATTGATGGATTTAATAGCCCAGGCCAAGAGACAACACTAAGTACCTTGTGTTGACAAATACATCACTACATAGCAATAAGGTATGGTCCAGGGGTGCGTTCTAAATTTTTTTACTACTGGTTCTGTGGGCGTGGCTTATTTTGTGGGCGTTGCTTTGAGGTCATGTGACTAGGTGGGCGTGGCTAGCTGGTCAGAGTCATTTCTGGAAGGTCCTCGCACTTACGACCTGACTCATTTGTTTGCTTTTAACACTGATCAGCTGTAGGACGGCCCTTTGAAGCCCTGCAGCAAGAGTTTAAACAGTTTTTTTCCCTCTAGTCATCAGCTGGGACTCAGGAGGCAGCAATAGATTGGGGGTGGGACCAAATAAAAGGTAAGAATAAAGGGGTGGGGGTGGGGGGTGGGAGGACAGGGGGGGAGAACCGGTTCGGTGACGTCATATCGTCACCGCTACCGGCTCGGCCGGACCGAACCGGGAGGAACCCACCACTGGTATGGTCCTTTCATAGAATAGAACCATTCAGCTTTCTTTTCCAGTCAAAAGTTTTTTGACAGATATCAATTCATTTCTTTCTTTAAAAATAAACGACTATGTTGTTTTTTGTCTTGCCTATGTTTTCCCTTGTTATGTTAAGCACAGCCACATTGGGGGAGGGGGGGGGATGAAAAAGAAAAATTATAAACCAGAAAGGTTTCTGGTGATGGCAGAAAAGCAAATAAATTCCATCAAGTCTCAGTCATCCAGGTCATGGTTGCCCCAAAGTTGCTTTTTCAGAAGGCAATTAGACTTTCTTGTTTTTTCTCTGAAGACATTGCGCTTCTCATCCAAGAAGCTTCTGTCAGAGCTGAAGAAGCTTCTTGGATGAGAAGTGAAATGTCTTCAAAGAAAAACCAGAAAGTCCAGTTGCCTCTTGAAAAAGCAACTTTGGGACACTTTTAAAGAGAATGTATGCAGTTTATATATATATAAATTCCATTCATAGGAGATGCACTTGGCTTATCTAGGGATATCTGTCTATATCCTTGCATCAATTTACTTAATCTAAAAACAGTGATGTACTATAAAATCCAAAAATGAATCCTAAAATGTATGTCAAAGAATCTTGTGCCCTTTATACTGTTGTATAAAGGTTAACAAACTTAACTTAGCAAAAGCATTTATGGATTGCCAAATTAGGTACATAGAATATTACCTGCCATCACAATGGATGGTAGAGATCAAAATGGTAAATAAGGAGTAAGATAGATGTAGTAATTTGTAAACTGATTAACTATATAACATGATAAGACCTGTTTTGCTACTGGAAGTTCAGATGCATGAATAATGATGGTTCAACTATTCAAGGATAACATCCGTATTTGTGATTTCTTTGCTCAAGATTCAGTACTTTTGAGTATACTCACTGTATTTCTCTTTCTAATTGGCAGAGGAAATTGAGAAAATAGAACATTCTCAATGCTACTACTGTCAGTAAAATAAGAGCCTGTCCTTTTAACAAGCTGCTGCAGTCTGCAACACTGGATACCACCAATTCTGCACTGAATTTACAGTTTTCCCAAATGCATTGCTGAGTAGTCACTCGATAAAAAGCAGAATTTTTTAATGGTTTGAGGAGTTTTTGTGGGAGTTTTGTTTAGAATATGGTCTAGTGAAAATGTGTGTCCTAAACATCTCTCAATGGATTCCAATTATTTTAAAAGAAAAAATTGCCAATATGGTTGTTTTTACTGAAGGACCATCTTAATATCATTTTATAAGTATTTCACTGAAGATCTATAACTGAAAAGGTTTGAAAAATAATATGCAACTGTTGGAATCCAACTGTCTTGAAGACAGTATAGAATTAGAATTATCCATCAACATGTGACACATAACAAATTTTATGTTGTTTTAATCAATAATTTAGTTAGCATTATGCTGTGATGACGATATATGCTAAAATTAGAAGGTCTTTATTACATGGGTCTAAAACATATTTAAGTTTGTTCCTTTGGGACAAAATATAGCTACATTTAATTATGTATATTATACTGCTTCATAAGCCTGTATTAATGGATCAAAACTGAAATGTTTATATTGAAAATGTATCAGTTCTCAATATCAGACTTCATAAATCACTGGAATTCTGAAACTCAGCATTGTAATAACATAAACAATATATACACATGGCAACATACTAAGATGTAATTACGAATGCAGAAAATTATACTTATTCAACATGATAAACTGTTAGGATCTTTCACTTGACAAATGTGACTGAAGAAAGGTTTTTGAGATAATTGGTATTTTAAAATATATGAAGAGCATGACATAGCTCAGACAAGCATTTTAATAACTGTTGCTTTTAACAAGAATTAAGCTCTTATTTAGGTTTTTCTTGTTAAAAATCAATGGAACTTGTATAGATTTAATTTATCTTGGAATTTGGCATAAGGGATTTCAAATTTCATTGACCTCTTTAATGCTATAGTCTGTGCTGCCCAGAGAGGTCACATTTTGTCCTATTCTATATAAGAAAAATGTTGCTAAAGCTAATGAATTTTTTTATGTTGATGTGTGTTAAACTATAACTCTCTTCTTGTGTCTTTAAAAAACTGACCCATTTAATAATTAAACAAGCTACAAAAATAAGTGACAATATACATTATTGCTTACAGATGTATTTCCACAAAAGTAATTCCTTGATGGCTTGCAATATGTTGTAGCATGGTATAATGTCTTTCAAGTTAATCCTGCAATTCCCATTTTACACAATAAAATATATCAACCTATCATATATGGCTATAATATTGTGATGGTGGTATTTTTGTCCTTGTTCGAGAAATCAATTCATGCCAGTTGTGTATGTTCCATCAAAATATAGAATCCTTATTTGAAGCATGTAGTTTTGCTTGTGTGTGTTCATTTCTATAAGGTTTCCTGAATATCAGTCTTCTATTCATTTAATATTCTTTCCTCAGCAATATTGGAAGGCAGATTCAAGAAGATATCCTTCAGTTGTAGAACCTGCCTTCTGGCTCAAGTCATTAAAACCCTGGAGGATCCTGCTTTATTATATCTTTCAGACAAATATAACTAGCAGCCTAATTAGGAACACTCCTGGTTAGCCTAACAATATGTTACATATTTTCTGAACTAAGAAGACCCAAGTTGCTGAGTTGTATTATCCCTGTAGCAGGGGTGGGTTCTAATTTTTTTTACTACCAGTTCTGTGGGCGTGGCTTATTTTGTGGGTGTGGTTTGATGGTCATGTGACAATTCTTTAGGATTTAGCAGAGCTACTGGTCTACCAGGCTTTTAACTGCTTGCAGAGCTGTACTGGTCTACCCATTTGTTCTTGGAGCATTCCAGTCTACCCATTTGTTTTTGGAGGCACCGGTCTACCCATTTGTTTTTCGAGCACACTGGTCTAGCACCACACTGCCTTTTAACACTGATCAGCTTTAGGGCGGTCCTTTGAAGCCCCGCGGCAAGAGTTTAAACAGTTTTTTCCCTTCCTGGGACTCGGGAGGCAGCAAATAGATTGGGGGCGGGGCCAAATAAAAGGTAAGAATAGCACTGGGGGAGAGGGTGGGAGGGCCCAGCTCCCGAACAAAGAGAACTGGTTTGGTGACATCATATCATCACCACTACCGGCTCGGCCGAACCGGGAGGAACCCACCATTGCCCTTAGGACTACCATAAGTACCTGCATAAGAATGGATCCTACTTATAGTATCCTAGTCAGCTGTCACCTCACTCTCACTTGTGTTTCAATACAATGCAGTGACAGTCTGCCATGAATCATGGGAAGGGTGGATGGAAGGGGAGTTGCTTGGGGGAAAGTGAAAGTGCTGCTTGGGGAAAGTGAGAGTGACTGCTATATCCCCCCCCCCCACCAACCAGACACTGCTTGCTGTATCAACCTGAACATTGTTTCAAGGTCACCCAGCTGGGAGAAGAATGCAGTTGCATACCAACTAATGTGTTACTAAGGGTTCTGTGGGAGTGGCTTGGTTGTGGTGGGGTAATGTGACTGGGTGGGTGTGGCCAACATTTTTTTTTTACTTTTAAAAGCATATTTTCTACAACCTCTTGTAAAAAAAATGCTTTTAAAAGGCTCTGACAATCCCAGCTGAGCTGCGCGATCATCAGAGGCTTTTTTTTTTAACTTTTAAAAGCATTTTTTCGGCCGAAGAAAAGATGCTTTTAAAAGTAAAAAAAAAAGCCTCTGATGATCACGCGGCTCAGCTGGACATGGAGGGGGAGCAGGGATTTTTGCAGTTCTCTGAACCACCCGCCACCATCTCTACCGGATCAGGCGATCCAGTCCGAACCAGGAACATTTCACCCCTGATACCAACCCATGCTTGAAGTGACCATTCTCAAAACTTCTTGCTTGAATCTGATTGGTCGGGGGAGTGTTAGTGATGGGAAGCAGCTAAGGGAGGGAAAAATTGAACTCAGGGATTTGATTCTCAGTTCTGGCTATGCACTATTGCAATGCACTTGACTTCTAATAAAAATATACCTTTCTCAACAAATAGAGCAAAGGATCATTTCTATTTAGAGATTTTAAGTTGAAGCAGGTTGTTATGGGGTTGTGTTGCTTTTAATCTTTATGTGCCTCTATGAGGTGTTTCCGGTTCCTGGGTGTTGCCCTTGAAGATGCTTTATAAGCGTTGTTTGTTAGTTTAACTTTGTTAATAAAAGCTTATCCGAAACATGGTGTCAGAAGTGGTTCAGTCCTGAAAGTGGAGCGTTTGAAGTAAGAAATATAGTACCATGGCAGATAATATACCACTGCCGCAACCCATGCGAGTAAGTGAGGACTCTAGCACTAATTGGGAAAACTTTAGGGCAGAGTTTGAAGATTACTCTTTGGCGACAGGCCTAAATGATAAGCCGGCAGCAGTACAAGCTGCCACATTAAGAAGATTGATGGGTACAGAATGTCTTCATGTTTATAAGCATAATTTAACTCTTACAGAAGAGCAGAGGACTGATACTAAGGCTATTTTGGATGCTTTGGAAGTTTTCTTCAGACCGCATAAGAATGTTATATATGAAAGATATCTTTTTGGCAGCTGCACGCAGGAAGAAGGGGAGATGATAGACGCCTTTGTAACACGCTTAAAGGAAAGAGTGGTGAGCTGTGATTACGGTTCCCTAAGAGACGAACTTATCCGAGAAAAAATAGTTTTGGGTGTTGCCAAGGAAAGTACACGCCGCCGTTTATTAAGGGAACATGGTTTAACGTTGCAATTAGCCATAGAAATATGTCGGACTACTGAACTTACAGATAAACGGCTGATGGCATTGGAGCGAGATAAACAGACCAACTGTGTTAATGTAGCTTCCAGGCACCAGCCAAATGTGAGGAATCGTCAGCAACAGCAGCAGTTCAAACAGAAGCCTCGCAATTTGTCAGCAGACAACCACACACCATGTAAATACTGTGACAATGTGCATGCACGTGGGAAAGATCGGTGTCCAGCGTATGGTAAAATCTGTAGGGTGTGTGGGAGGCTGAACCATTTTGCTGGGGTGTGTCTGGCAGCAAGGAAGTTGCATATGGTCGAGCAAACGCCGGATTTAGAGGATGTATCGCTGTTTACCACAGATGCGATCTATACGAAAGAATGCATTGGTGCAGTACATTCAAAAGGCAAAAAGTGGTTTGTTAATCTTCAATTTAATGATATAACTCAATCTTGTCAGTTGGACTCAGAGGCAACATGCGATGTGATGAGCCTAAAGGATAAAAGGAAATTGGCACCTGAGACACCCCTTCAGCCTAGTAATGCCACATTAAAGTTATATTTGGGGGAACTGATGGAGTCACTAGGCTTATTTTATACAGAGTGTAACATACGTGGGGTTACTCACAAATTGGAATTTGAAATTGTGGATGTAGATCAAAAGCCGTTACTGTCAGGCTCAACGTGTGAGCGTTTGGGATTGATGGGATTTACCATTCCGAGGGAGTTGCATAATGTTGAAACCTATTCCTCCAAAGCCTTGGGGAGACCATTGATAAAGCATCAAGTCCTCCAAGTTTATAGGGAGGTGTTTGAGGGCCCTATTGCATCCGTTCCAGGAGAGGTTCACTTTCAACTTGATCCCGCTGTCCCTCCAGTACAAAGTGCCTCACGCAATGTCCCTATAGCCATTAAAGCACAGGTTAAAGCACAGTTGGATAAATATGAAGCAGAGGGACATATTGTTTCAGTAGCCGAGCCAACCGACTGGATAAGTAATATGGTGGTGTCAGAAGTGGGAAGTGGGGTGATTAGGAAGTTAGAAAAGATCCGAATTTGCATCGATCCCAAGTTTTTGAATATGGCCTTGAAACGATCACATTACCCAATGCCAATGTTAGAGGATGTTTTGCATAAGCTGCCTAAGGCACGGGGTTTTACACTTGTTGATGCCAGGGATGCCTCTTTACAGTGTAAACTGGACGAAGAGAGCAGTTATATGACTATGTTTTGGACTCCTTGGGGCAGAAAGAGGTGGCTTAAACTGCCCTTTGGTGTATCTGGAGCACCAGAGACCTATCAAAGGAAGCAGCAGGAATTATTGAGTGGCCTCAGCGGAATTGAGCCTATTGATGATATCCTTATAGTTGGGTGTGGCGACACTGATGATGAAGTGGAGCATGATCATGACGGGAAATTGATGGCACTATTGGAGCGGTGTAAGCAGGTGAAGCTGAGGCTCAGTATAAAGAAGCTGCAATTTAAGGTGCGAGAAGTCCACTTTCATGGACATATTTTAACATCACAAGGGTTAAAAGCGGACCCAGACAAGATCAGAGCTATTGTGAACATGCCACCTTCTACTGATGCTAAAGCAGTGCAGAGATTTATTGGCTTTGTTACATATCTAGCAAAATTCTTGCCACACTTTTCTGAGGTTTGCCAGCCATTGAGACCTCTGTTGGATAAAGACGCAGTTTGGCACTGGCTCCCTAAACATGACCAGGCAGTGCAAGAGATAAAACGCTTGGTTACTTACTGCTCCAGTATTAAACTATGATGTCACAAAGATGGTTACGATTCAAAGCGACTCAAGTAAGAACGGTCTGGGATGCTGTCTGTTACAAGAAGGTCAGCCAGTTGCATACGCGTCCAGAGCGCTTTCGCCAGCAGAGTTAAACTATGCTCAGATCGAGAAAGAATGTTTAAGTATCGTACTTGCTTGCCAGCGCTTCCATTATTACCTTTATGGTAGAGATATAATTACAGTTGAAACTGATCACAAACCGTTAATAACTATATTCAAAAAGCCTCTTCTGTGTGCCCTGAAGCGCTTGCAAAGCATGATGCTCAGTTTACAGCATTATAATCTTGATGTCGTTTTTAAGCCAGGACGTGAAATGTATGTCAGCGATACTCTGAGTAGAGCCACAGTAGATCAGACAGCTACGGGAGGAGAACATGAATATCAGACGGTTTGTTGGCTGCGACAGGAACAAATATGTTTTGCTGAAATTAAACAAGCAGATTATCTTAATGTTATGAATCAGCGGTTACAGCAGTTGAGGCAACATACGGACGCTGACGTGGCCCTACAGACATTAAAGAATATCGTGCTGAGTGGGTGGCCGGATGTGAAAGAGGCGGTTCCCATGATTGTAAGGGAATACTGGTCCTTCTGTACAGATCGCTGTACAAGATGGCATTCTGTATAAGGGTCCAAGAGTTATAGTGCCAAAGTTATTGAGACCAGAGATGTTATTGCGCATCCATTCAAGCCATATTGGTGGGGTGGCATGCTATAGACAAGCCCGTGACACATTGTACTGGCCGAATATGCGAGGCGAAATTGAGGATTTTGTCAGTAATTGTACCATCTGTAATGAATATGCATATCGGCAACAGAAAGAAACTATGATG